TATAGTTTTAGAGGAGGTTAAGGGGTTATTCCAAAACAGTATTGATCCCTATCAAGCAGAGTTAGTACGGGGGAGTACTACAGGTCATGCAATGATCTACGTGACTCGAACATCCCAGTATAATATATAAAAAAATGTTAAAAGAATATTATTTTTCAGTTAGATTTATTATAAAATAATAAAAAAATAATTATTATTTTATTTAAAAAAATTTATTTTTCATTTCGTGTCGTGATTAATCAGAGCATCGAAAAAAAAAAAGTTAGATCGGGAGCCCAAAGTTAAATTGATCCAAACATCACCATGATTGATTAAGGAGTGTGATGATGAGAGGGGAAGTTTCTCTCTTCGGCCACATCTACTGGAGTGTGATGATGGTCCAGAACGATGTATACGAGCCAAGTCCATCGATCATGTGTCATTTGGTCATTTCATGTTTGAACGAACGAATGAAAGAAAACAATATAGCTGCACTGAGTCCCCTTGTAAGCTTGGGGTTGCAGGATTTGTGCTTAGAATAATTTATATGGATATAACAAAACTTGTTACTGAATCTGAATGAATTGTAAAGGTTTTGAGAAAAAAAAGGAACTCTTCACCTTCGTTGGTGAAGTTTTCACACTCCTTTTCTTTTTGTTGGAGTGGATGGAAGTTTACACCTTCAGAGAGGACGATTCATCTGTCCACTGACTTGCCTCATTTGCCAAATATTCCCAAGTCGATCACATTTGGATGGAGAATTAACATCCTATTTTTGCTCTGTAGTTTGTAATAGGGTTTTGAAGGTAACATATTCTCATTTTCCTTTTGAAGCAAAAACTGGACTGAGTCATCTAAGGTCAGAACTGGGCTATTTACTGCACAGACATACAACTGTCCCAGGAGCTGCATGCTGCCATCCCACATAATGCTACACATAACAGTGTTGGTTCTTACAGTTAGTGCTAGCAACTATGATTACCCAGCATATGTAAACAAAGACAAACAGCATCATCATTACGTCACACTCAACAGAGGCAGCCATCAGATTTAGGGACTCACCATCCTCTGCCAATCAAATATAGCAGATGTTGTGCAGCATATATGCTCTTTTCAGTGGGATAGAAATCAAAACGATGAGATGGACACCCATATTTTATACCATCATGAAGTAATGATCTGCAGTGTAGCACCTGCGAATGGACAAGCACAATATTAAATCATTGCAAATCGAGATTAAATCATGCTATTATCATTAACTGTAAATAAGTTGGCCAAAATTAAATCATGCTATTCTCATTAACTGTAAATAAGTTGGCCAGTCATAACTCAAAAGAGTAGCAATATTTACATTATCATCAGCAATCTGGAGTTGAGATTTATGCCCAGGTTGTGGTTGCTCTAGTGATTCAACTGAGAATTAGTGAAAATTGGTTGTGAATGCAGATTTGGTGTTGTATAACCCTGCAAGGCATTCAGATAAAATGATTAAATAACACAGCGTATAGACTTTATAGTTTGATCTTAGATGACCAAAAAAAACACATGAATGGTAATTGTACTATATAAAATATCCTTAATTGCTTTATGAAATTAACCATTGGTTACGACTTGCATGTTCCATCCAACTCAGCACTATGGAATTCAAATTTTAGTTGTTGTGGATATTACCTGACTTAACTGAGCAGCGCCATGGAGTAATTGTTGATGTGAATCAGAAGCTGGAGATTCCTGGATTTATTGGAATGTTATCATAAGTACTACTGAATATTAAATAGCCAAGACAAGTAGCAGCATTACCTCACTAAATTGAGTTATTGCACGAGATCCTAGGTGATGAACATATGAGGAGAAGGGTGCATGCATTAGAGTTGTTACAGGAGACTTAGGGTCGCCATCAAGTGTAACCCCTCCAGGGTCGGACTCTGTATCAGTCTTAGCATCCCTTCTCCACCTCTTCAAGAAATACCGTTCTGGTAGCTCTTTAATGTTTCTAACATCAAGTACTTTTAATACATGACCACAATGAACCCCAACAAATTCAAATTTTTTACAACTGCAGGCAACTGAACAATCAGTTGAATCGAGCCTAACAAAGTATTCTTTTGGATTATCACCAACAGTGATTCTATATTCTGATATTGTCCCAACCTCACCACTGCTGAATAGCATGCAATCCATGAATACCTCAAACTCTTTATGAAACATTTGAAACACTGCAGGAGTATACAATGAAGCTGCTTGCCTCAACATTTTTGAAGGAGGTATTCTTGGAACACTTTGGCTCGCATGGAAATCAGCTTGCAGTTCAGCATATCTATGGTCATCCACCACCCTCATGTAATGCTTAAAAAACGACAGCAGGTCAAGTTGTGGTGTCAGGTACTTCTTTAGCAAACTAAAGTTTTCATTTTGTAGCGTGCTTTTCATATCAGCACAAAGTGTTTCTCGGCCATATGCCAAGGCCCAATTCTCCCTATCTCCAAAAAGATTTGCCAACCATTCATTGTTTCTAAGATCATACTTTTCTAGCATTGTCTGCCATGCTGGCAAGAACTCTTCCTCATCTTCATAGTCAAAGATACACCTACCAAAATCCTTTGCAAAAGTCTTTGAACCTTGGAACACATTGTTAAGATGCTTAACAGCATTTTGATAGACTTGCCACACGCAAAGACGATGACTGGTACCTGGCCAAACTGCATTTAGCGCATTGCTTATCGACATAGACTGGTCCGTCAGGATAGTTTTTGGTTGTTTTCCACGCATTGCAATCTTGAAAGTATTAAACAACCACTTGAAAGACTCCATGGTTTCATCATACAGGAGAGCTGCACCAAAAATAACTATTTGCTTGTGGTGATTGACACCTAGAAAAGGTGCAAATGGCCTACCATATCCATTCACCCTGTAAGTTGTATCTAGACAAACAACATCACCAAAGTAGTTGAAGTCAGACATAGACTTCGCATCTGCCCAGAAAATATTGGTCAATTTATCATCCTCATCAATTAGTATTGCATGAAAAAAAGATGGGTCATTAAGTTGCATGTTTTGTAGGTACTTCAGTACAGCTTCTGCATCTCCCATCTGCATAGGCTTCATACGTTTTGTGCGAAGACCCATTCTGTGATCTACGGGAAGATATCTGACACTTCGAGAACCTGCAACCTGTCTGCCTGTTTGCTGGTTAGCTGATTTTGGAGTGGTTCCAGAATCATCAGATAAATCTGCCTCGGCAGCTTGAACTTCAGTCAGTACCCTTTGAGACCTTAACATGTGCATAGCTGAAGGGGGTGCAGGCTGATGGTTATGGTCTGGCACAAATTCAGTAACACGGTATGTACCACTAGGTCTAAGTTTAATGGTCAAACGTGCTGGGCAACCAATTCTAGTTTCTGGTCGTGGTTTCTTTACTTCCTTGGCTCCCTTTTTGTCTTTACGAAATCCTTCTCTTGAGCAAACAAGTGTTCTGGATCGAGTAATTTTGTCAGATGATTTATCTATCCAACCTTTCCGTACACTAAATCCTATCATCCCAGCATATCTGTTGTAGAATTCATATGCTTTGTCTTCATTTTCAAATTCCATGTCGACTTCTGGCACCATTTTTGTATTTACCAAGTCCTTCATTGGAACTTCATAGTCTATAACTTTTCTCTGTTTTCCCTGCTCAACCAAACTCCCGCATTAAGGCATACAGTAAGTCAAAAATAAAAGGCAGATACAGAGAAAGCCATAAAATATTTTGACATCCAGAGTGATGACAAATATTATTTGTTTCAGATCAATCGGAATGATCTCTTAATAGCTCAAACTTGATGCACTAGTGGGTGGAAGAAAGCCCCAGGGTTTCTGGCATATTAAGAAAAATAGGTATTGAGACTCGAAAGATCTGTACAAGCTTTACATTTTGCATGAAGGAAAGATTCAATTAAATGAGTCTTAAAAATGACAATTCCAGTTAATTGCAAGTGACACATGAGAATATAACCAAAATCTATTCCACAGATTATAATCAATGAAGGAGAAGATATTGACACCCTTCAACTGAATGGACTCTATCTTGTTAAGATCACGCAACAGAATACATGCATATGAATAACTTTCTGGAGTATACATTTTCATGCATACAACATTCTTGAGTTTCTCGGATCTATGGGGCATACAGGTTACACTTTTACCACGTGAGAACCAAAGAAGTATGTGGAACACCTATCGACAAAGACTTAAAGAAGCTAAGAAGATCAAAGCATCAAGGTCTATCCTCCTAGGTGATTACATCACATTTTATTTTCACTAGCTTCTCCTATGAAAACTAGCTTTTCACCCGGCTGTTTAATTAATTAGCTCAATGAAGCGAGCTGTTCGATGCTTATGCTGGCAGTACATAGTTGCTCACCATTTACGCTACCAATACTATATGCACATTGCACCCCAAAAGCGAAATTGAAATTAGTCATTAAGAACTGATGAAATAAAATCTCAATTTGTTGCCAATACACAACGAAAAAGGGGAATTCAGAACAATGAATTCATCATAGACAGCTTTGAAGCAAATCTAAACGTGTACCTTTCTCCAAGCAATTCCACAAGCATTGCATAGTGTTCGTCGTCCCTCTGGGCCGCTTCGCATATGGCATGTAAGCTTTGCGCTGATTCCACAATTATGGCATCTGTAAACGTTGAAGACTGGTTAGTCACCGGTTTCAGATCATAAGATAATCTCTCTCCACAAAATTCCATGACATACAATCCAGCCATAAGGGTCTTCTTTATGCAAACCCTAAAAGAAAAGAAATTATGCACTGTAATGCCGTAATGCCGAGGTCCTCGAAGCTTAGTTCGAGGACTAGAAGGGTATAGAGGTAAGAAGTGGAAGCATGGCTCTTACCTGACTGGGCCCTCCACCAAATCCTCGCCATTGCCGGCCTGCACCTCCTGGTCCTTATCCTGCTCGATCGGCATCTGGGGATCGTCACGGCCGCTGCCGATGGAAGGACTCAGCAATCGGCACGTCTGTGGTCCATTCGGTGGCTACGACTTCGGCATCTCGCTTTATCTCACAGCAACATCAAGAAAAGAAGGAACTCTGCTCCCAACCGAATAACGAAAGCGATAGACGGATTCGTCCGGAACGAGAAACTCCTAAGCTTGAATTAAGTCCGCAATCATCGGTAATATCGATGTGCTACACCGGATCGAAGACTCTCTTACGGATTCAGTCAGCGAAGTACACGTGATTTACGGTTTCCACGGAACTAGGGTTTATCTCATCCCATGGATCGGGGGCGGGGACAGGGAAGAAGCAGCAAAAGGAGATCGGCTGCAAGTTCCGTTTAAGAAAACGATTTAGTCGCCCTTACGTCCGCCACGCGTCCAGTCGTATAATATGTTTTGATCTATTACTAGATTTCGAAGTGTCCTTCATCTGCACCGCTCGTCCCTCTACTTCTCTCATCCGAACCGTCCATTTATATCGAGTGAAACATGATTCGGGTTGTGGGCCCCGCAGTTGCAGGTGGAACCGACGGCCGAGATGCGCCAGATGAGAGCATAGCAGATGAACAGTGACGATTAATAGAAGGAGACTACCATTATCCGAAAAATCTTACCATCCCTCAGTAATAACATTCATGTAATATGCGAATTAAATACAAAGCCTTGGTACAAGAAAAGAAAATTAAAGGGCCAAGAAATGAGAAGATAAAACAAGTATCATACATCCTGGTAGATGCCAGTCCCTGTAACAACAGAAAAAAAAAAAAAGTACAAAGATGGAGGATCTCATTGGATTCGTTTTAACATAAGCTACTGCTGGGCAATGGAAGCTGATGGAATCCTGTGACAACGTGAAATCGCTACTGCAAAACAGGTTGATGCTGCTTGCTGTGTTACTACTCCCTTTTATCTTCTTCGATGTCTCCATTGTTTGAGGTCGTAGTGTTGCTGATCACGGCCGCTCTAGCATCGATCGAAGCTGCAGAACCGCGAGTATCTTTTGAAGGAATTGGTCCTGGTTTTATTAGAGAGAACGAATCCTCTCGGTCGAAATCTTCAGTTCCGTCATCCGAGTAAGCATATCTGCAAAGAAGAAAAAACCGATGAGTACCTATAAGAAAAATGGAAAGAGAAAAGAGTGTATATAAACCAGAGGTGGTAAAAAAAAAGACATTTAGTATAATATCTCATGTTGATTATAATCATTGGTCTCATTCGCAAGCAATCTTTCAGTCAATCAAACATCATGGTCCTTAATATCCAGATATATGGTCTGGAACCCTAATATTCTTTTAATAATGGACTACTGGATTGTTGAACAACAATCCAGCTTCTCAGTTAAAATCTTTACTACTACTGTAGATTTGGAAAGAGACTAGCTACTAACAGATGACAGATATCTTGTTCTCTTGTCATTCTTGTCCAATCCATTGCTGTAAATATTAAGACCCAAGGGAAACATTCTTTCGCATATCCTTGAAATCAAGATTAAATAGATATTCTGGTGTACAGCAACACTTTAGCACAGCCTAAATTCAGGTTGAAAAGAGTTCTCATACAAGCTAACAAATAATGGTGAGTCATGATAGAATTTATGGATACTACTGTTCCAAAACAGAGATGTTCATGAATGGCAGTATTATCATCGACAGTACAATAGGACAAGAGGCACCATTTCATTTTTGTTAAAATGATATTTCTATTATGACAATATTTAGATGATTAAGAGAAACATCCAGAACAAAGTCCTAGACATAAAATTTCTGAAGAAAAGCAAATTGCAGGATCCCCAAAATCCAAGGATTTTACCTCTTTGAGTTTTGGGAGGGTGCCCAAAGATCAGCGATCACACAGAGAAGAGAGAAGGAGAGGACCTGCCAAAAGGCAGGAATGATCCAAGCATTCTGCCAGCGCTCGTTGTATATGTCAGTTGATTTGAAATACAGCTGCGGAAAAACAATACAACCTAATCATTCGGGGTAACACAACCAATCAAAGAGGCTGTAAACGTAGAAATGAACACCTAGCATGGTACACGAAAACCAATTAAGACAATATTTTAATATATTAAGAGTAAACCCAAGATACTCAATCATACAACATAGAATACGCCAAAGAGCTGAGTTAACATTCCTTTAATTCAAGAATATTAACTCTCAGCACCATAGAACAACTGGTGCCCTCTAATGTTGTATATTTTATACATGGCTGTCTAAAGCAACCTAAATTAGCTCAACATGAAGCAAAATAGGTGACTATTACCTCATAGCAAATCCAACAGACAGACAAAACAAGAGCAACACCCAATGCATTAGTAAATTTCCTGTAAATGTCTAGCTTAGCCATCAACCGTCTTGCCTGTTAGGGAACAAACACAGGAGTTATTAAACAACTTCTAGAGACGTATTCAAGCAAAAGATTCTTTTGGTATAAATTATGCAAACTACAGTAACTCGAGGAGAAGCAAACATATATTTTGACTGCAAATGCAACAAACAAATGATGTAAGTTTAACCAAAGGGTGACAGCAATTGAGTTGAAATCAGAAAGCTGCAAATACCTGGAGTTTGTCCAGAGTTTTTGAAAGAGAAGTAAAAATCCAAAGAATGAAGAATGCATCCAGGAGTGCCACAGGAAGAACCAAGAACAATCTTGCTTTTCCAGCAAGATCGCTTACGGAACCTACATTCTCCACCAACTCAAGTATCTCAGATGCTAGGAAAAATGTTGCTCCAAACATGATCACCTTAGAAGTGAGGCCGCCCAAAGTAGGCCTAACAACTCCATACCCCATTGAAACAACCAGAATAATGACTCGTGACACTGTTCTTTTTACTGTACCAAAGGTTACTGCCCAAAAGGTAATCCCCATTGGTCTGAGTCCAGTTTCATTGAATTCAGCATATTCAAAGTACCACAATGCCATTTCAAACATGCCTAATGCAATGACTAGTGTTATGCAGTTCTGAAGTGGAAGAACCTCTTTCCAAAACCTCACGTACTGTGAAAACCAAAATATCCCAAGTATCACAAATGCAAGAGACATTAATCCATAAAAGTTCATGAGAGGGGCCATCCTTCCTGGCAGGTAGCCAGTGGGATTTTTCCACACAGTCTTCCCCTCTATAGCCAGGCCACTGAGTGCTGGATCACAATATATAAAATACAGGTTGTACATCCCAGTTCTCGTGATGGGTATACTGTGGGATGGCAGTGTCGCAACAAGATCCTTTCCACTGAAACTAGCAACAAGCACTTGTGGCCAGTTAGGGTTCTGAGTGGAGGGCCGATAGATAACTGTGCCTTGAGTGCAGGCACCTAATTTTGCCAGATCTGCTGTGCAACAGACAGCTCGTTGACCACCATAGGCTGACCCACCAATTGTTTCCCGATCTTCTACCTCAAATACAATCGCTTGTACCATAACGTTATCAGTGTCTTTACTATTTTCAGTAGCTTGCTCAGGCCGCCTGAATGTGATCTTCTCAAAGCTGGATGCAGAAGAAAGGGAAACCATGAGAATGTTGAACAATAACTGTCAAAATGTGTCTGCCGTGGTACAGAACAGGGATATTCTGTGCATCATATTCAGAAAAACAGTAAATCACAATCTCTAAGAAGCCTATCCTGCAAGCTAATTGTCCCTTCATAATATCAAAAATGGCAGTACCGCACAAACGTCTGCTGCCAAAGGAAGTTTGGCCAGTGATGCACAGAAGGGTTGTATTTATGCCTCAAACCCTGGTGCCTCACCAAAACTCACCTTCTTAATTGTCCTTTTAGGACAACACTAGTCACTAGGATAGGGTGCAGATATATAATACCACTTTTTGCCGAAGCATTTCAGTTAATATCGCCAATGCTTTCATTAGGGCATGTACCCAAGTTTTAAGTGAAATAAAAAACACTAAATGATCAAGAAACTGTACCAGTATGCAAAATTGGCAGCAGAGAGAAACGTCTCAACCTCTCATTGATGAACTAGCTAATGTTCATCAGATCTTCAATCAGGAGACATGATATTAGTACTATATATAGATACTTTTCCATTAATTCCTTTGTGTTACCGATTATTGATGAAAATAAAATTGTGTAGAGGGCCACAGGAAGAGATAACAAGGGATACCTTATGCAAAGAATTACATAAAGATAATAAGAAGAATAAGAGAAGGAAGAAAATAACAGGATGATAGTACGAGGCACCAATCACTTCTCAAAAATCATTAATACTTCTCCCTCAATTCATAGAACTTCCCCATTTCTTGACCACTAAGCGACTTTAGAGCAATGTTTGCTTCTCAATCTCGTATGGTCTAGAATAACTCTAAGGACCTATCGAACAGTATTCAACTTAAAATAGTACTACTAGATTACTGGAAAACTCAGATGACAAATTCCTTCCCAGATCTCACGTCATACCATTATGAACACAGCTTGAATATTGAGTGTTCTAAATAACATTAAAATCCGGACCAAATTATACTAAATCAAATCAGCAACTTGGAACCCACATCTGAACACCTGAATACTCTGGAATGTGACTTCAGAGCTGGAAGAGAGCTATCCGGAGAATCTAAAATAATTGAAGTTAGAGATCTATGCAAAAAGTTCAGCATCATGGAAACTTGACGACGGCAATAGACATATGACTGCCTACCATGTCAATGTGATGATTCATTTTGATATTTGGATTAGTGTTACATCAGTTGCGCACACCAGAATCGAGCTACAATGATAGTTTACCGGATCGGTTTCGTTTCTTTGCACTTTCTTTCTACGAACTAAAGCAAGTCTTTGACCGACCCAGAGATCAACTGCATTTGAGTCTAATGAAACCCCATGATGTCAAGAGCCAAGCACCACCTAGCGCCAGATCTCCGAACGAACAACTCGAGCCTACACCAACGACCCCAATTTCCCGTCTTTCGACATCCCGAATCCCCACAAAGCCCTAAAACCCACAAACAGAATGAAAGGCGCCCCGGATCTGTAGAAAGAAATGAGGACAAGTGGGGAATACCGGATGAAGGCGTCGCCGGGGCCGGCGGTGGCGTTGGGATCGGGGAGGGAGGCGTAGAGGCCCTCGCTGCCGCCGTGGAGAACGAAGGCATTGCCTTTCGGAGCGAACTTGTCGCCGACGTAGCTGTGCACCGAGGCATCCACAGAGGAGGAGAAGAAGAAGGGGAGAAGGAAGATGCCACAGTAGATGAGCAGCCGAAGAAGACGGCCGGGGGCGGCAATGGACGGATCGACGCGCGCCATTGGGATACCCAAGAGAATATCTCTCTCTCTTTACCGCTCTCGTTATCCTCAAAAGGAAGCCAGAGAGGAACAGGGCGAGCTATGGCACCGGTCTTCTTCTTCTTCTGCTCACTGCTGCTAATGGCGAAGCTTAGCATTCTTCTCGAGGGAAGGACCTCTTTTTAATAGCACAACTACATTCCTTACCTGGAACCCAACATACCCGCGATCCACCCTGAGGAGCCTGTGGGTCCATTTAAACATAACGCCGCTAGCCAGTCGTCGCCGAAGAAGGTGGGTGAGTGAAGCGCGGATGAGAAGAGGGGGAAGGACTGCTCTTTTCTCTAATACTCCTCGGACTAGTCGGTGGCAAGGTTTAAGGAAGGGGTTAATGGCGATGTGGCCATTAGCCTTTGAGTCAACTCTTTAATCGAAATAAGACCGACAATGTCATTAATGTTTCAATAAGATTTACTATTGATCATAAACTATTGTTTTTTTAGACTACAAAAAATAATTTTGTTACAATAAACGACATATAAGATGTCTATAATTAGCATTGACCCTAAACTATTATTTATTTTGACTTTGATTCTTTAATCTATTGAGACTAAATGTTTTTCAAAAAAATAAAAAAAGATTATAATTTATGATACTCACTAAATTTATATTATTATTAATCACTGATGAAGATTATTTATTCAATTTATTTGATTTTTTTTACTCTATTATTCCTGATGATATATTATTTTTCTCTTTTTATTTATCAAAATTTTATATGCAACTCTCCTTTTTTTCTTCTCAACATGAGACCAGAATGCAGCATTCTCTTTGTTTGAAGTATCTCAAACATCAGCATGTTTGAACTGATGATTTGGCAGATTTCTCAATCTTTTGGAAAAAGAAGGCAGATAATTTTGGTGAACAATACCAAAGTTTACATTATATATATACTAAAATCCACACAAAGAAAACTAGCAATTTTATTTGTTTCTTTAGGATACCTCTCATATCTTTGCTTTGCAAATTGGTTGAACACAATTCTCTCTTCTGGATGTGCCCATCAGATTCTGCAGAGCTTTATGTTTGTTTCATAATCATAACTCTCCAGTCATCTCATAAGCAATGAAATGGTAAATTACAAGAAATTAAAAATAGAAAGTACATGAAAAGAAAAACCTTACTTTTGTTGCTTGGAATAGTTACATTAGTGCATAGGTTTAAAGATCTCTTGTGTTTTATTCAAGCATTCTTCTTGAAGGTTTGAGATAATATGGAATTTTCAGTTCAGCCAGCAACTCTTTTAAGTAAAATGTAAGCAAACATATCTTTCCTCATGTTAGCTTAGCTGCTTTCACTGCCACCCTATCACTGCAACTAATGAGTCAAAAAAAGGGAGAGAACATAAAAGTCAGCATAGAATGGACTCATTAATTTGCAAGAAAAAGAATCTGCTAAAACAATTTAATAGGAATTTTATAGTCAAACCAAACAACCTAAGCTGCAGCCCTGATTGCATTAAGTCAAACTGTAAAATAGAGCAGCCCATGTTTGAATGACAAAAATTTCTTTGTTTGCTGTTGAACTAGCAAAACACTTTTCTACTATCAAACTTTTCTCATCTACAAGTTTTGACAGTTCTTTGCATCAGTATAAATTCTTTTGTTAAGTAGGTTATTTAGTGAACTGTATTCATCAAGTTTAGTTCTCAAAGAAGGTCATCATAAGTAGTAATAGTAGTAGTAGTAGTTCATTAAGCTGCTTCTCAGTTCATGATACCATTAAAATATTTGAATCAACTCTTATCAGTTAACTCTTGTGCAAAGAATTATGATCTACATTGCAGTAAAGAAGATGGGAGCCAAAATGCAACAAAATGGTTACATAGATGCTTGTCATTTGTGCCAGGCTCATCATAGACTTCAACAGACCTCAGATTCTTTCAACACTTGGTGAAAGAAGGGACTTCTTGACACCAATCTAAGGGGATTCTTTTGTTCTTCCTATTAATTGTTGTGTATGTTCTTTTCTGCTCAGACAGTTACTACTTGGCTTGTGTTTAAGATATTATTAGCCTGGGTGATATCCATATGTATGCCTTTCCACCTTCACCTTCTACCATTATTACTTTGGAATGCAGCTCCCCTGGTGGCCAGCCAAATCCCTTTTAGGTGAGTTAGGTACAATAAAATTGTACAAGTGTCACAGGTAGAGGCTTCTGCACAAAGTGCTCTCAGATCTCCTCTGAGGTAACCAATCTTTCAGCACTGGTGGCAAAGGACAAGAATCATGCAGAGGTAAATATCTTGCAATGAATAGATTTGCTCAGTGGATAGTGATGCATAAATATTAGATTTCAAATTATAACATCTTTTTAATGGATAATCAATCCAAGACAACATCAACACTTAATCTGATCCAATGCAGTAGAGAGTGAAGCATTCAGATCCCAAATACTATATTAGATTGGGAATATCAGCCACATCCATACAACTTCTATGTCTTCTTCATGCAGTTGCCACAATGCCACTATATTCGATGCTTCCATGGAAATATCTGCAACAGTGCAAAGGAGTTGAGGTTGCAGGTTGGTATTGGAAAATGGAAGCAATGACATCATGACTGCCCTGTCTTTGGCTGGGAGAGGAGTCTTTCTGCTGAAAGAGTGGAAGCAAAAGGACTCCACACTAGATAAGAAAAGCTGACCATGTCTGGTGGCAAAAGAAGGATGCCTGCCAACAAAAGTGGTGGTGTTGGCAGCAATCACAGCAATGGATTCATGGTGATTTTGATCACTAACCGGGAGATATGCTCTTTTCAGGTGTCAGTGTGAGAAGATGCTTGCTTGAAGCACCGAGTGTGACCTGCAACCTGATGCCAAGATCTTGGTGGAGAGCAACTCATTCTAATGGAAGTTGAGTTGGCGACAGAAGATTGGCGTTGGAAACAAAACAAGGAATCATTGGATTATGATTTGATGAACTTCTCAGAGGACAGTGTTGATGCTAAATTGATGGTTCTGCAGCTTTGGAATGGTAAGCTTTGTTTCTTTTCTGAGGGTGAGAGGAGAGATAGGAGTTTCACCTACCAAACCGAGCTAATTTCATTAACCTGATAATGAGTAGCTCAACTAAAAGAACTTCCTAAATTAGCATTATGTTCCAAGCTAAATGTTGAATTGTCCTTAACCTAATCAAAGTTAGATTATCTTTGACCAATGCTATCTTATAGATGGGTTAATAAGGCTTTGTGTTTAAGATAAAACAATGCACAAATTAGCACTTGGATTCTCAGACTAACTCATCGACAAAATGATCTCAATCTGAAAAATACACAAACTAATACAACATAACATAATAATAAATATAACAAAAATTATTTCTGATAGTTGTGAGGAAGAAAAAGTAAATGCATCTACACTTGAAGGACAAATAAATGAAGTTGATTTGTTCATCAGTGGAGCAAAAGTTAACAGTATTCTACAGTGGAAGAAAGTCACCACTTTTGACAAATGTGCCATGCTACAAAATGAGAACTCTTAGCATATTGGTGTTCTTCTGGGGGGGAAACAATCAGAGACTTTGAAAGATGAACACATACTCCTCCTCTTAGAGGATGTGTTGACACTGATAATTATAAATACAAGAACAAACTTGCTGATGAACAACAAATACTTCTCAAGAACAAAGATATTGATTTTCTTTCAATTTCAGAAATAAATTTGGGTGTCATCACTTAATTATTACTTCTAAATTTCAGTGATTTCTGTGGCACAGTTGGTAGAATGAATGATGTCAAGAAAGCGATTTGACCACCATAAAAGCTTTAGGGGTTGTATGTTTGACCAGAGTGTGAGAAATATTTCTCTCGTGTTGCTGCATTGCCACCATGTCAATTCGGCAACATCAAGTGCGCACCGAGCAGTGCTCTTAGTACTCGTGGCACTGTCCATAACACTGTTCTAAGTGATTCCAACAAGAGATTAAGCAGATTTCCATGAGCTCCGGTGACTCCCATGTTTATCATGCTTCAGATTGTTTTGCATTATGTTGCATGAATCACTCCTAAGATTAGCAGACAAAGGGCAAACACTGACCTAACATCCCCCACTCTTGCTTGATGCATGTGCTGTGATTGTTCTCTAGCAACACTCTCTCTTCTTCCTACAGTATAAAGAAGGATGATGAGATATATATAGGACAGTATACATGCCCCAAATCACTAGGCGAGGTTTCCTTTCTGCATCTCCTTTGGCCTCCCTTTCGATGCTTCCTTCTTCTCTTTCTCACATATGGGCACAGCACCTCGTGGCTCCATTCCCTGTAATGGCAATCATGATGATGATGACTGCAACCATCTTCCGCCCAAATCCCTCTCCCTTCACTACCATAGCCATCCCTGTCTTCACCACCAGTGCGTCACCACCATTAGAGCTCACGCTTGCTACGTCGCTGCCCTCGCTGTTCATGGGACGTCCGTCTACAGCGGCGGCTCCGACCAAGAGATCAGAGTATGGCCATCTGTTCTTTTAGACTCCTTGTCCACAGCGAGGACTGATCATCCTGCGAGCTTCACTGTGGCTCAAACAGAGAGCCCGGTGAAATCGCTTCTTGTGTCAGGTGACAACCTGTTCAGCTCTCACCAAGACGGCGAGATCCGCGTGTGGCAGATAAACCAGAGGGAGCAGCGCAGCTACAAGCTGAAAGCAGTTTTGCCGACCTCCATGGACCGGTTTTTGAGCTTCCTGTCGCCCAAGAACTATGTGCAGGTCCGCAGACACAAGAAGTGCTCCTGGGTGCACCACGTTGACGCCGTCTCCGGCCTCGCGCTCTCGCACGACGGCGCGCTCCTCTACTCCATCTCCTGGGACCGCACTCTAAAGGTGTGGCGCACCTCCGGGTTCAGGTGCATAGAGTCCGTCGCGGGCGCCCACCAGGACGCCATCAACGCGATCGCGGTGTCGCGGAACGGCCACGTCTACACGGGCTCGGCCGACGCCAAGATCAACGTGTGGAGGAGGAGTGGCGAGGAGGGGAAGCACTCGCTGGTGCAGACGCTGGAGCGGCACCGGTCGGCGGTGAACGCGCTGGCGCTGAGCGCCGACGACCGAGTGCTGTACTCGGGAGCGTCCGACCGCTCCGTGGTGGTGTGGGAAGGGGGCAGCGGGGGGATGGCGGCCACCGGGGAGCTCAGGGGACACAGGAGGGCCATCCTGTGCCTTGTGGCGGCCGGGGAAGTGGTCTGCAGCGGCTCGGCGGATACGACGGTGAGGGTGTGGAGGAGAGGACGAGAGCAGAAGGGGCGCCACTGCTGCTTGGCCGTAATGGAAGGCCACGGAGGGCCGGTCAAGAGCTTGGCGATGGTAGTGCTGGAAAGCAGCAGCAGCAGCAGTAGCAGTACATGCCTGGTTCTCAGTGGAGGTTTGGACTGTGATCTAAAGCTGTGGAGACTCTCAGTTCCTTCTCTCTCTTAGGACGACACCTCCCTGGCTTTGGAAGTACAGCTTCTCTTAGATCGAAGATGATACTCCATCGTCCTCCCCACGGGATGCTTGACCACGTTCATGGCCATGCCTGGCCACAGTCAAAAAAGGGTTTACGGCCACTACCATTGGCTTGGCCACAGTTCAAAGTAATACTAATTGAACGAACTGAACCTTTAAGGCCACATGTTATCCAGAAACCACGTAACATAGATGATAGGAGATGATAAAATGGCCGAGGTCTATCACTATGGTACCTTTTTGAGGAGCATATCAACAAGGATTAGTTGTACTGTCACTTCATCATCACTGTGTCACACCCTTCATGGTTTATTTTATGTGATGCATATGTATTGCAAAAGTAGGCCCAAATGATGAATCAATTATGTCTGATATATATATATATATATATATATATATATAT